CCCTACCATGCTGATGGTGACAATTTGGTCATAGGCGAGAGAGGACTCCCCAGCGATGGTGCCCGACGCTCTTAGGTTCTCCACCCCGAAGCCTTCCTCTTTCCCAATGATGTCAGTGATGATATACCTGCAGGAGACGAGAGCAAGCAGGGGGTTACACACACACACACACACACACACACACACCCCTTGGTCCCCTGGGTTCCCCCAGGAGGGGAAGTCGGAGAGGAGCCCCTTGCTCACCTTGACTCACCAGCCTCTTCCACGTGCCTGCAGTGAACAGAATTCATGGAGCTGATCCTCGTGTAATCCTGAGGCGTTAAGTACAGGTACTTGAATCCCTTTGGAAAAAAAGAGGGTGTGTGTGCAGGATTAGCAGACTGCTAGGAAGCCCTTAGAGCAAGGCCCTCCAGCCTGGGCCACTTTTAAGACTAGTGGACTTCAACTCCCAGAATTCCTCAGCCAGCAAAGCTCTGTCTGGCCAAGGATGGAGACCCCTGCTCTAGATGAAGCATATAATTCGATCGTTTTGGTGGTCTTTCTGAAAGGAGAACAAGGAACGGGGGATGAAATATTGTTTACCCCTCACATTTGGGGCAGTGGGTCCTTCTCTGCTCTCCCACCATTAGAGGAGTTTGGGGAACCAGACCCTCTCTTGCTTCCTGTTGCTGGTTAAGAAGCCAGCGTTCCGTGCCTGCCTCCCTGCCATTAAGCTTTCAAAGGACGAGGCCCTGGAAATGTCGAGGAATTCTCCCTGCCCGGGCAACGAGGCTCAGCTTGAGCAACAAAGGCGTCTCCTCGTCTTCCCAAGGGGAGATTCAGCCACGATGGAATCCCGCCGGGGTCCCGCAAATCATCCCCTTACCTTGTAGGGATCTGCTGGATCTACCCAGCCTATCTGGAACTTGGTCTTGATCTCGTCGGCAAAGCCGATGCGGGCACCACTGTTGGCTGCGATGTAGACCCGCGGGATGCCCTCTGCACGCGCCAACTCCGATGCCCGCAGGAAAAGGAGATCCTCGGCAGGCCCAAAGGACCCGATCTTGTAGGTGATGTCGTTGCTGATGAGCACAATGTCACGGCCCTTGGGGTACTCGGGGGTCTTCAGCTTCATTTTGAAGGCCACCATTCCAATCTGGCGGAGGAGAGGAGGAAGAGGAGGAGGAGGAAGAAGAAAAAGAAACTGATCAAAAGCAGAAGTTAGCAAGCTGCATTTCTTAAAATCTGGAGGATTTTCTCCCATTTGAATCCTCTTCAACAGAGGCCTAGATTAACACTAGCAATTAAAGGAAGAATCTGATTATTATAACATATGGGGGTTATTTTATCACTGGTTAGACTATGAATAGGGATATAAAGTATGAAACTAAATAATTTAGGAAGAGAAATGTTATAACAGGAGTTATGTTAGGTTGTAATGTTAAAGTAAGAACATATAAAGAATTTGATGGTGAGCTTATAACTATTACGACACACACATTGTACTCAGACGACACACGGAGTGATGAAGGATGAAATGTTTGTTTTAAAAGAAAAATAAAGAAAAAAACTTAAAGAAAAAAAACAGAGGCCTGCAGCAAAGCAGCTTAGACAGAAGATGAAAGGCAGGCAGCCCCTCAGTCTGCAAGGACCCCCAGTGCTTTCAAACCTCCCTGGTGGAGCCCCACTTCTCTCAAGCTTCCGCTTGCCCCGGTTCTCAGCGCTTGCCTCATTTCCTCCCGGCAGCCTGTTCAGCTGCACCATCTTCCCCTGGGCATCCAGCACTAGTTCCGTGTACGTCAGCACGTCGGTGGGGCTGGCCTCCTCAGTGGGTCCCCACTGTTTGAACAGAGCCTGTGGAGGAGGAGGAGGAAGATTCTCGGCATCAGGGGGATTCTTAGGGGCAGACGCCGCTCAAGGGAAGGGAGGGGAAGGCATTTCCTGGGTGCCTGCTCTGCCAGAGTGAGCCAGTGGGCTCTCCATCGGGGAGACCGAGCGCTGCCTCTTCCACTGGCACAGAATCTCCTTGGGAGAGGACATCTGGAAGAGAGACACCTTTGCCCATTCGGTGCCCATTTGCTTTTCCTAATATTTCTGGAGAGGCGGGTCTACAGGCGGGCTTTCTCTCCAGGTGAAAACATTTCCCAATATTGTGTGTGCGTGTGTGTGTGTGTCTGTCTTTTAATTTAAAAATCTGCAGCAACTCTCAAATCAGAAGCTCCAATGAAGGGACTAACTAGGACCCTCAATCCCCACTCTGGGGCCTCTCGAGCATTAAGCAGCCCTTGAAGAGCATTC